GACTCTCCGGTAGCAATGCGATTTCGCATAGAATTGACGGTGTTAACTAAAGCCACTTGCTCGTAATTGGTAGGAGTCTTGACCTTGTACTCTTTTCCGCATAAAGTGGAAATTGTTTTATCTGGGAAAAGGCAAAGAGTATGATCACCGTAGCATGGTTCTATTCCACACCATTTGTTGAACATTTGCTTTGCAGGAGCGTTCGATACTTTAGGAAAACTTTTCTTAGTATTTTCCTGATGTACAACATTATTTAGGGATCCTCGGTGAATAGAAAATATGTTGGGAAATTTCTTGTATCTCAATTCACCATATAAAAGGGGCAATTGCCAGCAAGGTAAGTCTTCTGGGACATACCATGTATTCTCATCGTCGATTGAAAACGTATCTCCTTTTACGTTAGACAGAGCCGGTTCTAAATTATAGTAATCTATTAGAAGCACTGTCTCCGACTTTGGTTGCTTTTGTTTTTTTATGAACTTTGTGCCCTGATTTAACTTTTTATTTTGATGCGTTTGATGATTCGAAGAACGTAAATTTAAATCTGAGTCGCTATACTTACTATCGTGGGTTTCATATCTTTCTTCATCATATATGTACTCATATTCTTTAAAAAGATTCATCGAAGGTTTTAAAAAATCACTGGCGTTCGGTTGATGACTTTCAAACATTTTCCGGTGATCAATATCAATAGAATTGTTAAATTTTTCTATTTTATTTAAAACTTCTGCATTTTCTGGCAATTCTTTAGTTGTGTAATAGAATTTACCTTCTGCACTATTTTCGCTTTCATTTTCTTCAAAAATTTTACTGTTTATTTCGCTTGGAAGTGGGGTATTGACTAGTTCGAAAACATTGGCATTTTTTTGTGTTACCTCATCATTCTCGAAATAATAATCATTTCCAATACCGTAACTTTTTGTAATACATATGAGCAAAATACTTATATAAAACATGTTCTTTATTGAGTTACAACTTTTGTAGTATAATATTTCTTGACTTTCAAAAGGCTTTGTAAAGGCCAATTTTGAATAAAAATATTTCGACTTTGTATGGATTATAATCTATGAAATTCACATGTAACATAACATATATAGGTAACCAACTCGTTTTCAATTATTCTTAGAATCGACTTCAGAATGGATTTTAAAAAGAATGTTACTTTTATTTAAAAGTTATTTTTTTAAATGTAAGCACCGAGTCAATATGAAAGTATAATTTCTGGCATTAACTCACAATAATTTTTTTAATAATAAGGAATAGCTAAGTATTAGCTTACCGTGTAGTGGCGGTGTAAGGATATCCACTGCTCCATTTGATTCCGTGGGTGTCGTAAGAGGCGACAGTGGGAAAGAAGTCAGGAGATTGGCAGCAGCGTCCCCCCCCCCCTCCATGAGTAAATATTTGGGGGAGGTCTATGTTCAGCAGTGGACTTTAATAGGCTATAACGGTAAGTATCTAATAGCTACTATTAAGTAATAAGTAATAATACTATGACTAGTAGAAAGAAAGAAAATGGAGTAAAATATTGGAACAGTTATACAACTACTTCAAAATCCCACGACTCCATCGGTTGACACTTGACATGTTGAAGTCGCCCATTTGTTCTTTCTTAAAGAGGATGTAATAAAGATTATAAATCATTTAATTAATAAAATAAAAACTCTGAAAACTAATACTTTGAAATTCAAACTACACATTATTATATTGATTGATTTACATCCTGATACATTTTATGCGACCGTGATATATTAATCCATTTGAGTCTTGGCCGGGGAAGACAAGGTTCCAAAAATGAGGTGAATATTCGTCACCGACTCGTACGTGTGGGAGCCAAAAATATGCGGTATGATTCACAGCAACCTGAAGATAAATACAATACAATGACCTAAGCAAAGGTCAAAACTGGCTCTTGAGTCTGAAGGCTTGAATATATGTATTACGTATTTAAAAATTAAAAAAATATTTTAAATAAACATTAGGCGATGAAATTGAAAGGGCGTGTAATAAAAAACGTAATGTAAGAAATAAAAGATTGCCATCGATTATTCATAAATGAAAAAAATTAATAATACCCTTATCATCTAGAATCTAATTCCTTACTCTAAATTCTTAGTTTCACTGTTTTTAAAATACGTACATATATTTTCGATATACTAAACAGGTACAGTAAAAAACTTCTCATAACGCAACATATATTGTATGATATAAAACAAGTTAATAAGTTAAACTTGTATTTATTTCGTGTTTCAGCTTACCTAATACATCACTTGCGTATACATTACGAACACATGAACATAATTTATAGTAAGCGGATAATATAAGATGAACATATTTGTAATGCAAAGTCGTATAAAATACTTTAAAAAAATCAGAATCTACAAATTTAATGCAATAATTTAAAATAGTTTTTGAAATTATTGCGTTTTCTTTCTTTTTAAAAAAGTACTAGTTACTTTATTAAAACTAACCACTTAACGTAAGCTTTAAAATTAGACTTGAAACGAATAGTATATTCGGCCACACGCCGAATACCGAATATTTTGCGGACTTGCTGGCCGAATAGGAATAGCCGAATATTAGGCAAAATATTAGGCAAAAGTATTCGGCCGTGCAGGAAGAAGTGTTTATTCAGAGCGTCTATTGTCTGAAGCTAGTATTATCTACGAGAAGAGAAGGAGTTAACTAGTGCCTGAAAATGCAGAAAAATTAGTCCATCTGCATCACAATATCTTCCACTTTAAATACGATCATTCGAGTGCATAGACATTTATCTGATTTTAAATTTTTTGCTTTTTTCCGAAAAAAGAAAATAATATCTCTAAATGTTGTTTTAGTAGTGGTCTACCACAATAATCGAATGGCGGATTGGAACAAACAATCTTTAGTTAGCAGTTCGCTTCCTAACCATTACGCACATTGCCCCTTACTTTATAAACTTCTAAATTCCTTGTGACTTTCATTTAAATGGACCGTTTAGATTTAATCAGGTCAATAGCTTAAAAATGTCTCATATACGTATGCATGACGCTCTTCCAAAAAATTCATACTCGTATGATGGCGATTAAAATCTTTAACTCTTTACCCGACGAGTTTAAAAATTTCCCAATGACAAAGGTAAAAAAACAAACTTCATGAATGGCTTTTACTTAATTGTTTCTATACTGTTAATGAGTATCTTGATCACAAAAATCAAAACAAATTACATATTTAAATATCTGTATCTAAAAATGCTTGAATTTTTTGCTGTGAGTTTACAAAGGACTTCGAAAGTTATAGAATAATTATTAGTTAGTTATTTTTACTGTTTTTACATATGAACATTTTGATATTTGCAAATAAGTTAAATTCATCAAAAAATTGTTATATCTAATTATTTTTTATTATATTATTTATTATTGCACGCCTCGATAAGTCAGAATGTATAAGAACTTTTATGTTTTAATAATACTCTTGTAATATCTACCTACATTCTATGCAAATAAATAATCAAAATTATGACGAACTATGGCCAACTACGTAATTAGTTGGCCATAGTTCGTCATAATTTCGATTCACAAGATAGTTACAAGGCTAGGGATAAAATATTTATTTATTGGTTTGGGAAGACATTTGCTCGACAGTGGAATTATAAAGACTCATATAATTTACAAAAATACATTTTACAATTTTAGTTTACAATTTTAGACTAGTTATTATTAACTATTTCCGTGTAGTGGCGACGGAAGTATCCCATAAAGACCGGTGGGACTCATTTGAGGCGACAGAGGGAAACATACCAGAAGATAGGCAACAGTATATACAATACATTCATAATAGAACGGGGTAGTGGGCGGAGCCCGTGTAGCCGCTAACATGTCAATTCACACCTATAAATGTCAACACAATCAATCGTTTTTAATTTTCGTATCAAGCGTCGCTGCATACAAATTATTTAAAAAAATGGCAAATTACGTGTCGAAAGAACAGCGGGAAATGGAATTTAAATAAAGGAGACATCTATTAGAAACAAAAATAAAGAAATATTTATGTGTCAAAAACGTTAATCAAAAGTCTAAAATGTGTTTGTAGTAGTGATAGATGATAATATGACGTAATTGTTTGTATGTGTGCACCCGGCGCTGACGATCCCCGTACAAAATAAGGTTGACATCCATTCTATTGTGTTATAGTATTTTATGGGCAACAGTGTGTATCTAATAACAACTAGAAACTGATGATACAATCATAAGATGCAATCTATAAGGGAGAAATTTTTCAGCAATGAATTTTAATAGGCTGTTATGAATGAATTAATGCAATATAATTATAAACACGAGTTATGAAACATAGGTAATAAGCATTTGATTACAGAAACAATAGCTAACATCAATGTAACCATTGAAGCGCCACTATACGGACGAACGCCATAATAAAAACAATGTTTTGTAACAACGACAATGATGTTGTGACTACGATGTTAAATCCAAAAGAAAATTATGACTTAAAAAAGACAATCCCGAAAATGGCAATTTTTTTCAAGTTTTAAATGATATATATAATTTTATTTTTATATATATATATATATATATATATATATATATATATATATATATATATATATATATATATATATATATATATATATATATATATATATATATATATATTATTATTTTTATTTTTATATTATTGGTTTAGAAAAAAGTAAAGTATATAACTAACCAGTTCTAATGTACTTTTTAGTTACTTTGTTTGAAGTGAAGAGTGAAGAGTGCTCAGGGTCAATGAGACATAAGCACAGTATTATAAATATTAAGCCTGTGACATAAGTAAGCGAGCTAAAAAACTGCATTTCCGTAAAATTTCTGTTTACATTGTGTATTAAAAATAAATAAGTAGATCTCAATTCTACAATCACTCGTAACATACTTCTTTTAATTTAAGTATATTATATAAATTAGGGTTTGTTTAACTGTTAATAACAATGGCATTCTAATACCTTTCTTTATATATTCCAGGAGTATCTTCTCTACAGTGCTATAAGTGCCTCATTAACCCACCACTGGGAGAAAACTACAACACTGCTAAGCGTCTTTGCGTTCACTTCGACTACTCGGATAATTTTATAGTAGAGTGTCCTTCCTCTACCATGTGCATGAAGCAGGACTTCTATCTTGACATACAAAATGGAGGTAAGGAGAAAACTAAGTAGAATTTAATGCGTCATTGCATTCCTGGACACTTCATAAAGTGCATATGTATATAGTTTTCATATTATGTTTTTTGTGCGTGTTGCCAGTGATGACTTACGGATCTAAGACGTGATCCTTCACTGCTGGCCGTATGAGGACGCTCAAGGACGCTCAGCGAGCTATGGAGAGGGCTATGCTCGGAGTTTCTCTGCGTAGACTCAGAAATGAGGGTATCCGCAGTAAAACCAAAGTGACTGACATAGCCCAACGGATTAGTAAGCTGAAGTGGCTGGCAATGGGCCGGCCATATAGCTTGAAGAACCAATAACCGATGGGGAAGAAAGGTCCTTGAGTGGCAGCCTCGTACCGGTAGGCGTAGTGTAGGGCGACCCCCCACTAGATGGAGTGACGACCTGGTAAGACATGCAGGAAGAATGGATGCAGGTGGCTCAGGACCGTGCTTTGTGGCATATCTTGGGGGAGGCCTATAAGGGCTGTAATGATGATGATGATGATGAAATTTAACTTCAGTGAATTTTAATTTCAGTTCAGTTAAGTCAATTGTGCAGCTATCAGAAATAGAAGTAGATTATGAATAATTCACATTGAAAGTAATTATTATGTTTAATTTACCACTGGTTCGGAAATTCAACAAGAAGAAATAGCTTAGTAGCGATCGCCTTATTCTCTGGGGTTGTTATTATCCAACACCTCCTTAATTATTCTTATTATAGTAACTTTTTTTCATACAAACTTTGTTTAATAAAATATTTGTACTTGGCATTGGACACATTTTGTTGTTACCCGACTTCCTCAGAACGAGAGTCATCTCACCTCAGTTTTTCGAGTTTATGTATATATATATATACACTATATACTTATGTCTATTTCTTTGGCAAGATCTGTAGCCTATTAGCGGATTTCTACGTAAGGGGTTTCGTTAAATTCGTCTTAGTCGTGTAAATGACATAGGGTATGAAATTATCGCTTTTCAGTAAACTTTTTACGCAGTCAGGATTTTTTGAATTACTGGTTTAATAATTCGACGACATCCAAGGTCAACACCACTAGAGTATACACTTGGGTGTCGTGTCGATAAGTTGTCCGTCATGATATACATAATAATAGCAATTAATGTTTCAATTTCAGTTAGAATAACCGGAGTAGAGCGAGACTGCGCCCCTCAAACACACGCGTACCAAGAATACAAGAACGGGAAATGGTCACCTAAAACGGAAATATTGGAACCCTATGAAGAGGGATGTACCAGCGTCGACAACAAGGGAGAGAGGGCTACAACTAGCAGGTTGGATTTTGCAAGCATGCTAAATAATATTTATATAGTATGTTATGAAATTAGCTTATGGAACGAAATTGTATGGTTATTTAACTCAAGGTCTTTATTTAAAAGTTGGGTATCACATTAAAGTTAACTGCATCGTTGGTCTTGTGGTTGTAGTAGTGCAACAGCTAATCATGAGGTCCTGGGTTCGAATCCCGGGTCGACCGGGTCCCGGGTCGATAAAGAATCAATTATTGAGTTTTTCTGTCAAGAAATTCTCAGTAGCTGCCCGGAGTCAGGAAGTTGGCGGTGTCTCACCCCCGTGCCTCGGAAATCACGTAAAGCCGTTGGTCCTGCGCCTGATCTCCCTCCGGTCGTGTCGGTTTACCGTCCCATCGGATTACGAGAGTGAGGGAATAGAGAGTGCACCTGTGCTTGCGCATACACTTGGGCACTATAATCCTGTCCTGCGCCGATGGCTAGCCTCCGTTGAGGCAGGCCGCCGTGGCCGAAATTCGGTCTGGAGGACATTATTATTATCACATTAAAGGTACGTTATATATATTCGTACGTAATATAAATTTCAAGGCAAATTATTTATTTATTATAATAATTTTCGTCAAGTGCGGCCTAAAATATGAGACAAAAGTTTAATTTTATAGCTCTTAAATGTAAGAACCCTTAGTTTTAGACATGTAGAGCCTCAATTCAATGTAATAAATCATAAGAATATTTTCTTTCTAGTAAAATTGCTTTCCAATAGCGCCATCTGCTTCATTTTATAGAAAGTCATTTTATCGAACAAAAATTGATTGACTTTCAATGTGGTACGAAAAATGTACTTAACATATTATTCTATGTCATCCTCTGGCAGGGTTAATCCAATAGAGATATATTTTATTTTATTACGGCGGGTCTTAGGAAATTAATTATTGACATCTTTAATACATGTCTATTTTTTTAATTTTGCTCTTTCGTTTAATCAAGTTTAAAATCACAACGATTGTTAAGACTTTACACTTCAAAAATGTCCAACTTTAAGCAATACTTGCACGGGTTTCATGTGATGATAGTGTTCAATGCATCGATATAATATATGTATTACGCACTAGAATTCGCATTCCAACACTCACTATGTTCAAATGAACTGTACTGCAATTCGTACACCTGTTATTGTGGCTATAATATTCATACAGTGCGGAGCGGCGCTAATAATAATTTTATATTAAATTAGCACATATGGAAAATAAACAAAAAAAAATACTCGATTAACAATACAATCTAAATAAATAATTATTTATTATGCCAAATTTCGCACATTTATATCGATTGCGCATGTGCGAAAACAGAGTAGTGCACATTTTTTGTTTGGAATAGCTTCTCTAATACGTAGTACGTACATGTAACTCAAGGTTTCATGCTATCAGTTCTTCCACAAATTTTAAACAATTTACCGCTTTAGAAGTTTAAATATAAAATCTAGAAGGTTCAATCTACACCTAATTTTCCACATTATGTTTTTTAACTATCCGTTTATTGATAAAAGTGAATGGGGAAGGTTTTAAAATATATTTAAATTAGGAAAAAAAAGATTAATTTGCCTTTGTATTTTTTTCTATAATATTCTAATTATCATCTAAAATTTAAATTCGACTGTGACAGTGTCATTGTTTAGGAGTATAATTAAGGCGTCACACTCTTAGCATTTCAAATTACTTAAATTTAAACTACGTGTAAATCTAAATGAAAATCTATAGCTCAATATCCGAAATAACATTTTATATAAGAAATATTTAGTATGTTTTAACCCGGAACACCAGTAAAGATATATTCTAAGAATATAAATAAAGCAATGAATAAAAACTTTAAATAACAGGCATATACATAGATATATCTTAAATTACGAAAGATACCAAAAATAGGTAATTGCAGGGCTGCGCATCACAGCATCTTAATCGTCTTCATTTCCACGCTTCGAAGTTCACTCTGAACTAGGTCTCCCACAATAAATGCCACAATACGGTTCTCAGTCATGTGTATTCGTCGATAGTTAAAAATGTTCTTACAATATTTTTTAATACAAAGTAATTTACAAGATCCCATATATGTAAAGGTTAAGGACGTAAACAAAAGTGTGAAACTGCCGGCAAAAAATTCAAGTTTCGAACAGGTTTTCTAAAAGAGTAAAGCAGAAGAACTCCGGCTTTATGTGATATATGTATAATATATTAGAATAATAACCGTAAAATGCATGTTAACCGTGGTCGCAATGTCCAATTATGCGGTGTATAAAACCTTATACTAAAATTTATTTATTCATTAATTTCAGCCAAAGTCCACATAAGCCCATGGATTGAACGATAGAGTGATATTTGACAGAGATTCCAAACTTAGCAGGCGGGTTGGCACTGCATTTTTTCAGCATTCTGAATTGATATATGGTATAAGCAATAAGTTGCTGCCTGTCTCTTGTTTCATTTCCTTTATTCACACCCAAGGGATGATATGGGGTAAAGATTGGCTTACGCCGTCAATATACGCCCAATTTGTTTTTATTTTACTATTCGTGATTATTTCGTTTCTTAAGCCCTTACAATCAACAAACAATAATTATCTACCACTGGGAGTGCTTAGAGGAATTGTTCGGACTAATTCCAGCCGTTCAATTTCTCCACCGCACATCGCGACAACACTCGCAACCGTACGTACCGTCTTTACCACAAGGGCACGCGTATAATAATAGGAATATTTTCTTTTTTTGAAAGAAATTTCAGTTTACATTTTTACATTTTTTACATTTTTCTAAGAAATTATGGTCCCCGCTCCCCGCTATGAAATCTGTCAAATATTTTACCTCATTGTAAAGTGGCGTCTTAAATAATAAATATGAGATTATAGCAGAAAAATGTTTTCGTCATTCACTTTTTTTACTTTCCAACCAGGCCCCAAATTCTTGTGTGCCCAAGGGCCCCAGTATGGCCTAAGACGGCGTTGCTCGCAATACCATCCATACCATCTGGATGTTACGTACAGTATACATACTGGATGTGAACCCCAAGGTCCACCACTGTGCATTTACAAGAAGTTTTCTTCATCGCATGACTTCGATACGACTTAGGGACCTTCAAGAAAATAGCCAACTCTTTTTTAAAAGGCCAGCAACGCGTATGCAATGTTCCTGGTGTTGCAGTTAACCATGGACTGCGGTGGTCACTTACCATCAGGTGAGCCGCATGCTCGTTTGCCCCCTCTCATATAAAAAATAAATAAATAAATAGCACGATCGACTAAAAACAGTAGATCTGCCTTAATACTATAATTGGCACTCTAGTGTTAAGTGTCGTGCTACTGCCTTTAGAACTCCAACCAGTAATTTCGAAACCACTAAGACGTTAATTTATAACTGATTTACCCAGCTTCAGTATTTATACAAAAACTCAAGAATCGTTTTTAAATCTCGATGCGTTAATCTTTCTATGATAACAATAGTCAGTAAAATACTATTATTGAGCTGAGAAACTAAACATCGCGTCGAATCCACTACTGTATTAGTACTAGTGTCGTAGATCAATCCCAAGTAAGCACTTTAAGCTTATTGATAGTGCTTACGGGAGCATTCTTTTTTTTTTTACATAAATGAAGTTGAATCATTATTTCGGCATATATGCGTTATTTATTTATTTATATAAAAAAAAAATGTACCTACACACTAACAATGTAGAGGGCACATCATAATACGTGTGCTTATAAGGTCCACAATGAAATTTCTTGCGGTAGGTCAGTACACAAATTTATGATAAAATTAAGATAATAAGTTGTGCATTTTTTATTACGTAACACATTCAATCATAAAATAAATACATAATTATGTCTGCACATATACGTAAAAATATTCGATCGTACATAGTATGCTTGTATTATAACTATGAATAATATATACACATAGAATATACAAAATAAATAAGTAATAGTAGTATAATAACTAAAAAAGATATAAATAATAGCTACATATTATATAAACAGACAGACTTTTTGTATTTATATTTAGCTATTTCCACAGACACAGAAATAATGATTATACTTATTTTTTTAAGGAAGTCATTGTTTTGATTTCACGAATAACTGGTAATATACAAAAAGAATAACACAGTTCTTGAGTGAGCTTGCAACACTACAAAATGTCCCTGAGCAGTCAACGTATGCGATTGTATTGGAAAGTTGTCACCGTACTTAATATCTGCCCAGTAAACACAACACGATATTTTTTATTATTTTTATTTATTGACTGCCCCGTTGGTCTAGTGGTTGTAGTAGTGCGACTGCTGATCATGAGGTCCTGGGTTCGAATCCCGGGTCGGGCCAAAAAATTAATTATTGAGTTTTTCCGTCAATAAATTCTCAGTAGTTGTTGCCCGGAGTCAGGTAGTTGGCGATGTCTCACAGTGCCTCGGAAAAGCACGTAAAGCCGTTGGTCCTGCGCCTGATCTCTCTCCGGTCGTGTCGGTTTACCGCCCCATCGGATTAGGAGAGTGAGGGAATAGAGAGTGCACCTATGCTTGCGCATACACTTGGGCACTATAATCCTGTCCTGCGCCGATGGCTAGCCTCCGTTGAGGCAGGCCGCAGTGGCCGAAATGCGGTCTGGAGGACAATATTATTATTATTATTATTATTTATATTTTTTTCCAGACATTGCTACTGCCGCCAGGACCTCTGCAACTCGACAACGAGCACGACACACGAAGGCTACACAGATATCATGGGCGTCATAGTGGTGTTCAATCTAATGAAGTACATTAACAGTCTTAGGTAGTATATTATACACGGTGTAGACATTGGGGAAATTGTAGAGTCAAGAGTGAAATGTATATAATGGTCGTTGACATGTGATATTATAATTATAGGAATCTAAGGTATACATATAATAAAGTAATCACATCCCTAAAAGTTTGCTTTATTTATGCAACTTATTCATGCCATGCTGTTGTTATACATGTATTATAGTTGTAGCACGCATGGGTCGGCTCGACCAGGCAAGGACCACGCTCACACAGCTTAAGGTGCTGACAAAACCTCAATATGCTTTATTGAAACAATTATTAGCTAAGTTATGGCATCGCTAAAACACATTGTGTTATTCTTAAACATGTATACATATTTGAGAGAACTGCAGTTTCCAAAACACGATTTAAAAAATCTCGGCACAAAATGGTAAACTACCGTCTTAAAATGACCTACCAGTAAAATGTTATAACACTTATACGTAGTTAAATTAATTACAATAACAGATCATCATATATGAATATATATATATATTTTATATATATATATACTTATATATATATATATATATGTTTTCTAATACGTTAGTTACAAGCGTCGTGTCATCGCGTTAACCTGTTTATCAGTGTCTTCATGCTGCAGGGTTTCGTATAGTGAATGTAAAGAACAGCAGACCCTTTTTACTGGAAAAGAGGCATTCCATCTTGGTCCTGGAGGGTGACAACCAGTGAAACGCACCTGCATTTGATTATTATGGATGACTATTGGATGGACTTAATGTATAAAAAAAATTAAACTTAGGAGCAGAACTTGTTCAGAAATCAACAAGTATTACTAGCCATACTCAAGAACAATTCTTAATCACCTAAATAACTATTTAGCTAATAACTAAAGACCATAATATTTTTTACTTATAGATGTCGCAGCCAACTAGCTTAATTAGCCGTTCAATCAACAACCTAGCCTTTTAACTAAACGGCGCCGTTCAACTAGCTGCCTAAATGATATTCACTATTCAGCCGTAGCGTTTGTTACAACATTTAATAAATTTGCTGGCTAACCGTGGGTTTGCAGTGACGCTATTTTCACAAAAAAACATGTTTCAAACACTGTTTTCTGTCAATGTATCAAAAAGCGTTTGCATATTCAAAGAACAGGTTGTAGTGAAATATGTTTGACAGTTTATTGTACATACTATATTATATCTATATAACTACAGAAACAAATTTGTAGAAACATCATCAGGTTAAAAGATAAGTTTGAATATCTGCTGAAAATTTTACACAGTTTTTGTGAGTGCGAACGCCACCATCAACAAAACATGTTATGTGATTTATTTTATGCGATTTGTTTCAAAACATTACGTGTTGGATGTTTCTCAGTGCAAACGTACTATTATGCTTAGGGCATTCGTAGTATATGTTATATATATATATATATATATATATATATATATATATATATATATATATATATATATATATAATAAACAGTGCCGTCCGACTAGCGGCCTGGTATGATATTCAGCCCATGCGATTCACCCGATGTGTCTAATAAGACATTTCATGCCTAATTACTAATAATGCACTATGCGCTATATTATATACATATACCCGCACCCTAACCTAATGTCGCTGAAATTACAAGATAGTTGCAATGTAGTATTAGACGCAGCGGCTGAATATCATTCAGGCCGCTAGTTAAACATAAAAAGGCTAAGCTGTTAATTGAACACCTATTAAATTAATTGGCTGCGAAATAAAAATGGCTTGTACTGTTTTGTTAGTTTTGTTGTTGCGAGAAAATAACAACAATAATTTTTATTTCAAAAAGCGAACTAGGTGCGACCCAGAAGGTCCAACCGACTAACTTCCCAGTGGAAAGAATAAAAAATATCATATGTTTTAATATTTTATACAATTTTTCATTCGGCACAAAAATACGACTTGACCGATTTTGCTCAAAATTTGATGAGGTCTAAGTTACATAATTATGCGTTAAATGAAATTGGTCCCATGTCAATATCACTCTTTGTTTTCGAGATTACATGAGGCGAAAATTGAATCCGAACATACATACGTACATGTGCATACACGGACATCCTCTCAAAAACCAAACTATTCGACTCTAAAGACCTTAAAACGTGGAGATATGATAAAATTTCCAATTTGCAAAATCGGACCCATTACAATAACTTCTTACTGGGAAGTTAATCTTAATTTAAAATAGTCAACAATATCAAAATATTTATATAATAGCTACAGAATATATTTATTATGACCACACTGAACAAAATATAGAATAATAATAATAATAATAATAATAGTATTTCCGACCGGGAGACCGTATGGAAGGAGAAGGAGCTCCACGGGAGGTACTACAGGGCTCTACATGAGCCCTTCGTAGATTCAATCGCCTCCCTCTGGCTACGTTTCGGTGACTTCTTCGGGGAAACCGAAGGTTTTGTCTGTGCAATACAGGATCAGGTTATTAAGACCAACAACTATCGGAGATACATCCTAAAGGATGGCACCGTCGACGTCTGTCGAGCTTGTCGCCATTCCGGTGGGTTACTTAGGCATGTCATTTCCGGTTGTTCGGCGCTTTCTAACTCTTAGTACTTGCACAGGCACAACCTAGTAGTCAGGATTCTACACCAGGAGCTCGCTCTGAAATACGGTCTCGTGGACCGGAAACTGCCTTATTATAAGTACTTGCCGGAATCCGTGCTCGAAAATGACCGCGCCAGGCTCTACTGGGACCGGGCCATCATCACGGACAGGACTATTCTTGCGAATAAGCCTGATAATGTGCTGTTGGACCGGGCACTGGCAAGGATAATTTTGGTCGACATTACCATTCCATATGACGAGAACCTAGTGAAAGCTGAATCAGATAAGAAAACAAAATATCTGGACCTGGCTCACGAGGTGACCGACATGCGGGATGGTCTGCCGACCGAAGTTATTTCTGTAGTCGTCTCTGCGAATGGGCTAATCCCAGTTAGCCTCGCGGGTCATCTCAAGCGGTTGGGACTCCGTGACGGACCGCTCCGGGCTCAAATGCAGAAGGCGGTGGTCCTCGATACCGCCCGCATCGTCCGCCGGTTCCTTTCTCTTTCCCCCTAACCCTCGGCCGTTTTCCACTGCCGAGGGCCTCCATATGTTTGGGCTTTTATTTATTTATGTAGAAATTATTTATTTATTTATGTTAGTATATGAAATACATATTTATGTATATTTATCATTTCCTTTTATATATTTATTCAGCCCAACCAGATGAGAATACATTATTAATACCCCATAACAATAATAATAAATATAACGAAAAGAACTTATCTAGTCTAAAGCAACCAGTATTTGTGTCAATGTTGATAACATTTTTCTACATTGAACAATGAAAATTATTATCAATTGGTCAATTGAAACTATTAGAAACATATAATATAGTCCATATTCGTAAATATTAATTATTTTATTATTTCCAACTACCAATATTTGAATTATTAATTAATGATTTAGTTATAACAAGTTATAAGACTGTTAATTGTTCTTGTTCTTTATGAATAAAAAGAAAATACACGACACCATCTTGTAGCCAAGCTTAAGTTGTAGGGAAGCTACAATTTATTGTTTTATTCATAAGCAATTCAGTTTAAAATAATAGTGTTAAATTTAATAGCATTATTACTATAAAACATTTTCACCTAACAAAAGATAACTTTATCTTTGAAACTAGTATTGTTATAATAACTAATTGTAACCGTTTATCTTAGACTGTTTAAATACAGTGCATTATAAACTGTGATTGACTATGCTAGTAATCATGGTTTATAACTAGACGGACGTTACTAGTTACCGTCTAATTAGTATATTATTATTAAGACATTATCATCATCATTTACAGCATATGAAAGTCTCCCGAAAGATTGCCTCCCAAGGAGGATTTTTGCCATAGTTGCCACGATTGGCAGGAATTTTCTTTGATATATTTTTATTGAATATTCTTACACGGTATAAAAAATCAAATTTTTTTTTTCATAAACGTATACGTGGTAGAGCCATGCTGCCTCTATAGCATGATTGTAGCACGAATGGGTCGGCTCGATCGAGCAAGAACCGCACTCTCACAAAATACGTGCGAAATAGCAGCTTATTAATGCTTACTAACGCTCTTTTGTTTGGTAAATGTAGAGAACCGAATACCCTTTTTACAAAATCGAGGCATTGCATCTTAGTCCTCAGGAGTTAAAACGCATCTGCATTTTGATTCTTAATCAAGGATGGTTATACATGTCTATGGGCTACAGCATCTACTTACCACCTGGTCGACTGTATAATCGTTTGTCACCCTTATACTATAAAAAAACCGCCATTTCACGGTCGCAGTGCATGGTGTTATTAGTAAATATATGTATAAACATATTTCAGTTCAGCGAAAGATTCATTAACCAAATTTAATTGTGAAAATAATTGATAAGTAAATGATGAACTACGACATGATTGGTTGGTAAACATCCTTTTCTGATATCAGATCTATGTAACAAATATAATAACAATAACAGGCTTTCACAGTTCACCACTAAGCGTAGGGCTTCCAAAGGAAAAGCCACAAAACATTTTCATGAGCCACTTGTATCTATAGACTTCTAGCATACCTATCTAAATAGATCGTCACTCCATATAATGGGGAACCGTCACAGACTACCCCCTAAGGAACCGCCCTATAGACCGCTTATCTGTACAAGACTGGAAGACTGGAGGCTCGGTTTTCACCCGAGAACTTTTTTCCTACGTAATATATATTTAACAGTATATAAATTTTTTTTATAATCTAGTTATTAATTTTATATCACAACTATATATGTTATAATAAAAAATATTATGGTATAAGTGCTCATTCACGGCTCTAGTATTTAGGACTAAAAAGGGCGGGCGCGTTCTTCGTCACTTATCAAAACACATAATATCTTTAAATTAAATAAACATTAAATTCTTTAATCGTATTACATAGCCGATTGCTATGTAATTC